GTGTGTGTGTGTGTGTGTGTATATATGTGTTGGCTTTCCACAGTTGTGTTTTATCCAGTTTTCCAGCCATAACAAATAGCTTTTTCCCACTCAAATGTCCTTGAATCTCTCCTGAGCAGTTATTAGGCAAGCCAAGAACACACCAGTGTTGCTTAGCGGAGCAAAACTTTGCTGATAGCTGGACATTTTGCCTTGGAGAAGCTGGACAGTTATTTTTGTTTCAAGGTTTTTATTTTTTCTTACAAATTTTTACATATTTTATGAACAAAGTCCGGATCTTTTCTTTTACATCCTCTCATATGCATAATGTCAGGTTTCCCACAGATGCCCTAATTTTACATCATATCTATTCTATTTCCAATTTCAGACATATCAGTTTCAGCCTCTTTCCATATTTTTTATCTTAAACCTATTTTCTTCTTCGTACATAAACAATCTCACTAATCGCCTTAATTTCTAATCTCTTGCAATAACGTCAACTCCATTGCTAAATATGTTTCTCCAATTCCCCATCCCACTCTTTTAACATTTCATCCTCCTCTCTTAATTTAAATTATCTTCAAAGTTAAACCAAATTGCCATTTCACCTTTCATCTGTTTTTTCTGTTCTGCTCTAAGCCACAAACATCATCAAAATCCATTTTTTACATACATAACATTTAACTTAATGTATTATCCATAATTGATAATGTTGATATAATTCCCTTACGTCTTAATTAACTATCCAGCATTAATAATATTAGTACAATTCCCTTTAACATACTAATAATATGTACCTTATTTCCCTTCTTTCCCCTCTAACCATTTTCTCTTGGTCTCTCAAAGACTAGCTGGACATTTATTTTTAAAAAGCCCCCATTGATGGAGTGCCCACAATTTCCAGTGGCCAGCCGTTCCACTGACTAATCGTTCTCACCGTGAGAAATTTCTTTTTAGTTCTAGGTTGAATCTTTAATGCTCTTCCACCCATTGCTTCTTGTCCTACACAAGTGGCCCAGGGTGGGATTGTGTGTGTATACAGTTTCTAGGAATTTGACAAGTCTTAGCCAGCTATCTTGGGCGAACTCGGCCTTCGTAGGTCTGGCTAGATTTGCCCAACGTAGCTA